CCTGTCCTACAGGGCCCCATTAAGTTGGCGCTGACTCAATGGCAGTGAGTCTGGGTCGTAGTTTTCCGTATGTCCCGAGTAGAAGGCAGCGGTGCTCAGTGCGGCCAATTCCACCCCTCAAGGGATACAGACCCTGTCCAATGAAGTTTGGGCTGTGGCAGCAGGAGTTAGGGGTAAGATCTGGGGTCCCAGGATCCCCTAGGGCAGAGGCGGACAGACAGCCTTTGGGCTAGGGGCTGGTTTAGGGCTACATGGGGGCCTGGGCTTCCTGTACCATGCACCCCAAACAGGGTACATCCTCACAGACTGCTGAGAGCTGGCGAGAACCCAGCGCTGGCTGGCGGCCTCCAAGCCAGCATGCCACAGGGCCTTGTCACCAGCCTAGGCACCCGTCCACATTCCCGAAGGATCGAGAGTCCATACAAGGCCTCCCGTGGGTGTGTGTCGTGAGACACTTCCCTCCTTCTGTGGCACACCCCCCACTCCCACATGGCACACAGGCTAGTCTCTTCAATGGATGGTCAAGACCCCTGCTCTCCTAGTCCCTAGTCTCAGCCTCCCCCACCCACCCGCTGACCCCCAGCTGTAAGGTGACAGGGTGCTGCTGCTGGTTGAGCCGTACTGGATGGTGGTGACCCAGGTTCTTCACTCAGAAGCACTCCCTGTCCCTGCTGTCCCCACCATGCCTTGGTTTGGTGTCGGGGAGACGGGACAGCTGGCCCATGCAGCTGTTTCTGCTCACCCTATGTATGGGCTGAGGGCTCCAAACCCCATCATGCGTACTTGGGGTCCCACTCAAATGTTGTCTCAGTGACTCTCCCCTACGGTATGGGGGAGTCCTTGGAGTCCAAATCAATGTGGCAGCATAGGGCCCGGGGGCCCCCACCTCCATCTCCCTCACCTCTGGGGGACATCCTCTGCAGAGTGCCCTGGGGCTGTCACTCCTGTAAAGACTGGCAACCTGGAAACCTGCGGGGGCGGTTCCACCTGTCCTTCAAGGTCCTATGAGCTGGCATCGACTCCGTGGCAGGGGAG